CCATAAAAAATGTTAGGGTCTTAGTAATAAAATTAAATAATTTCTCTGTTTTGTTCATCATATGTCTTGAGTTTAATTAAAGAATCAAAGCAACAGAGCGTTTAATTAACATTATTTCTTAATGAGTTAGGGATTATCTAGAAGTGGAATATAAGGATGTTGGTGCTTCTCTTCTAAGTTGTTTCTTCAAGCTTGTCACAAATGGCGTTTGTTCGGATTTTCTTCGGAATAAAAGTTTGGGAGCCGGATGTTTTGGGCGATTGGATTCTCAACAATCTGGTTTAATTTATGGACTTATAGTGACCCTAATCTTTTGTTTAAAATCTTTGTTTTCGTATTGTCTCTCTTTTCGATTAATTGATGTTGTATCTTTGGTTATGGGGATTTCCATGTTTTCGTCGGCTTATAGCTTGCTTCTGTAAAACTCAAAGTTATAATATCAATGAAATCTTTGAAATGAAAAAAAGAGGAAGAAATGGAATATAAGTTTCTAATCTTTCAATAAAGACACTAATTCCTTCTATATATTATTAGCTTACGAGCCAGAATAAACTAGTTACACTGTTGTATAGATTGACATAATTAAAATACTTTTGATTTGATCTTCATGTAGCCATTCCTCTTCACATGTTTATCATCAAAAACTATTGTACTATGCAACAACATCAACAAATCTCAGTATCTAGATTAACAAACCCACGAAGCATATCTAGTAATAATTACGATTTGACTATGCAAAACAAAATATCAGTTGCCAATACTTCGAGTAGAGTCGTGGATATCGCGAAGGAAAGCATCGACAAGAAGTACAAAAATGTGGTCGACAAATTATTATTTGTTCCTATCCAAATTCTGTTCACAAAAGATATTAAAATAAAGAAAGAAATTTGTAGAAAAATGATTGGAACACATGAGAGATTGTGAGGGAGACAACCGATCCGGTGAAATCTTTTTTACATTATAAAATTTTAAAGAAAAGCATTTGCATCCAATGATTAAATATAGATAATAATCGTGTTGTCAAATCCGACTTTTCTACAATTTCATATAATGGATTTAAATTTTTGTTTTTTCTCGACTTTAGAACCAGTTGGTCTTTTTCTAAATGATTAAAGTAAGTCGATGTAATATAACTATTTGATTTGAACGACTTATATAACTTTCAAACTACAAATCCCTATCGTAAATTAAATCACGAAAACAAATTGTCTATTTATCACTAAAAACACTTGTATATATATCCTACCTTTTATGTGTAAAAAAAAATGTGTAAACAAAATTCATACATTATTCGAATTGTTTTACTTTATCACATACTATTGCCATTGTAAAGTTTTTCAACACGATTTGATCCACACGTATTCATTATAGTCTCTTCGAACTCGAATGCTCACGTCTTGGAGAATTAAAACACATACGTTTTGGTATATACAAATGAATTATTTGCAAAAACAACGGATAAAAAAATTCGAAATAAACTAATTTTTTATA